CTTTTCCGATCCATCAAAGAATCATTAGTTGAATTTCGTGTTTAATCAGAGCATTGCAACGACTCCTTTTTATTTACAATGAAAATTACTTTCAAAATTAAAATGAAAATTCTTTTCTTAAGATTATAAATCTCGTTCTATAACATTGTACATAGTAACGGGGAAACTGCGAAACGAAAAATCATTAATTTACGACAGCCGTAAACTATGCGCTACTTAAATGAGCCTTTACACGTGATTTATAACAGGTTATTTGTTCATTCCTGGGGAATTTCTTATTTGATTTACGCCTGCGCTGCGCAGTTATGTCATAACAGATGAGAATGAACTGATCGATTCTTTACCATTTGTAAGAAGAAACGTTTAAAATTTCGAAATGAGTCGCTTTGGCAATATTATAAAATATTCTTCTCTTGTAAAAGAAAATCAAATGACCGAGGACTATACGATCGTGTTAATTTTTTTTAATCGTCAATATGATATAATAAATTATACACTTTACTACGAGTTTTAAATAACATTTATAACACGACGTATTTAAAAAAAATTTTAATGAAATATTTTTCTTTGCACGTATCTGTGCTTGTAATCAATACGTTCGTAATACTAATTTACTTCGAGTACGTAATCTAGTGAATGGTACGCAGTTCTGTGCATTTTGAAAACGTTTTTTAAATGAGCTGGATACGGTATTGTTCATTGACAAATTATACATTGTCTGTCTTTTTAAGGTGTTTATTTTCATCTTTGTTCAGCTTAACAAAGTATCATCGATCAGACGTTATCATTAGACATGTGTCATTAGTGTGCTTTCATTTACATCTTCTTCAAAAACACTTCTCATTGTCAGTGGTCGAAGCATATTGATTCTCAGTTTAATATTTCTTTATTGTTTAATATTTAAAATATATATATATATATATGTCAGCACAATAAAGAATATTAAACGACTTCTCTGGTATATAACAGTTATTTATAATTTAATAATTTTGGATAGTTTCGCAATATTTATTGATGCTGTGTCACATAGCACAGATAACTGCTGGATCTTCTCTCGGGAGACCCATGTTGTTGCTTTTAGAAATGCTTTTAGAACATATTCTCCTAGATATAACGTAAGAATAATACTAACAAAGAAAAGTTTGATTCGTTCCAAGAGACTATATTTTCTTATTTTTCGATCATAGAAACGTTCGCGTACAAACCCTTGTAAAGTAATATTTCAGAATTCAGAGATTCCCTTTTCCTTAAATTAAACATTTCTCAATCGATACAATAGTCGCGCAATCCCTCACAAACGCGTAACAATTTAAACATATGTCTAGATCAAAGAAACGAACGAACGATTGGTGGAAGAGCAGGAGAAGTTTTACAGAATCCAGCTGCAGGACGAGGTCTTACTGCAAGAGAAAATAGATACTCTAGTAAGCAATGTGGCAAATATCTCTCTTCAAACGGATATTCATCGCGTACACGAGACTGCACTCGATGTGAAGAGAGTTTGGAAAGCCATGGTCGACTGTCGAGAAATGGGTCTGCTGCTTAATGAACGGCAAAAACTGTTTGGCATGAAAGTGGTGCCTTTCGAACATCTACACAAGCTAATGAGAGACTTTGAACCATACAGAAATTTGTGGATCACCGCTTCAGGTAAGGATTCAATAATAATCTTTAATAATCGTCATTCGCTCAGTGACCGATAGATAGATAGATGGAAACTAAGAAAAAAGTTAATACTTTGTGAAGAAATGAATTCGTTTTCGCACGAACCTCGCTTTCGCATAAATTGATATCATAGTTGATATCTTTTTTTTTACAAGATTCAGAGCGAAGATAAAATTGATGCTGATTCAACGAAAATCGTTCTCTCATAATTTTTAATTGAATATGATTTTGCTACAATTAACAGACTGGCTTAAATGGTACGATATATGGATGGACAATCCGTTGATGAATGTTGATGGCAGTCAAATCGATATTCTGGTTGCTGATATGTATCGAGTAATGACCCGAGCGATTAGAACGTTCCAAGAATTCCCGAGTAAGTCAGCAATTTCGCGGTGAAAATTGCCACGGAAATTTGATTTAAAACACGTAGTTTATATCTGTTTAGAGATTCTTTTTTATTTTTAAATATCTCGTGTTTCAAAAGAAGATACTTTCGACTAGGAAATTTTCAGTAATTTCTCTTTCAATAGAGGTACAGGCAATAGCAATTGCAATAAAGGAGCAAATAGACGAATTCAAGCCTTATATTGGTCTCATACAAGCCCTTCGAGAACCAGGAATGAAAGACCGTCATTTCGAGAAACTGAGCGCGCAAACTGGAATACAAATGGCTCTTAAACCAGCCATAACGTTTAAATCCTTGTTAATACTTGGTATCCAGGAATTTGAAGAATTAGTGAAAATTGTTGCTGACATTGCAGCCAAAGAATACGCCACTGAACGGACATTGAATAAAATGATTGAAGAGTGGGAAACGATTGTTCTGGAGCTACTACCATACAAAACCACTGGTAAATGTTTCTTCTATTGTTACACATATAGTATCGACCAAAAGTTGTTATTTTATATTTATTTCAATATTTATATATTAATTCTTGTGTATCTTTTGTCTATACTATACAAGGATAGATATGTTCATTTCCTATACATAATGTACTAAAAAGCAAAGAAATTATTTAAAAGTGTGTATTGATAGTAGAAAATTTATATATTGCACACACACACATGTAAGTGACATGTATCCAAATTTTTTATTGACAATGTATGTTTTAAGGGTTTTGAAAAATTTTTCTAATCAAAGCCGACGTAATAGATTAATATTATATTTAGTTAAAAATAAAAATTAAATTAAAAATATTTATATTAGCTCACGCTGTCATGTGCTTTGTTTATTTTCTCTTCAACATTCAGTCTCATCGTATATCCTTAATCTAACAAACACTATTCTAAGAAAAGGTAAAACGTACTGGATAGGTGAACACATAGAATACGTAAACATGTGGATATGTAGAATACATAAATATGTACGTAGATTGTACGGAGTATGTCCATATGGATTCTACGTGACTTCACTCTACAGCGTCTGAAATCCATAATGCCTTAAATGGCTCAGTTATATAAATTAGCTGAAACTTGTTTCTACAAATCTTGCATTCTCACACATAGTAAATAGCACTTTTATAAAAATTTATTTTAATTGATCTTACTGATATCCACACAGGAACTTATATAATAAAGGTTGCAGAAGAAATTATAATGCTGCTAGAGAACCATATACTCAGCGTACAACAGCTTGCATTCAGCCCATTGAAAACCGTTTTCGAGGACGAGATCAATGAGTGGGAACGTAAATTAAAGTTGACGCAAGAGGTACTAATCTTATGGATAGAAGTACAAAGGTACGGATAAAGAGAAAAAGATTAGCCGCTTGTTTAATAATGAGGATCTGAATTACAGAGACTGGATGTACTTGGAGCCAATATTTACTTCAGAGGATATTAATGTTCAATTGCCAGTGGAAACTAGGAAATACAATGCCATGGAGCGAAACTGGAGACGTATCATGAGGAATGCTTATGAGAATCCCTATGTAATTTCAATTTCAACATGTACATTCTTTTATATAACCTCATATGTGATTTCCGCATGATCCTCAAATGATTTTTAGAATGACCTTGATAAGTATCAGATAACTTTGAATAATTTTCTATACAAAACTATTGATAAATCTTCTTTCTTCTACACGCAATACTGGCTAAAAGTTTGAATATATTTTTATTATAATTATATTTCACAGTTAATTCAGTTAATTTCGTTATACGATAATTCCTGCATATTTTTCAATCATATATATTTCCTGTACACAAAATGCACTAAAAACAAGAAAATCACTATTGATTAGAAATATGTGCTAATATTAGAAAATCTATGTATTTCACACGCAGAATGTGTACTTAAATTTTAGCCAATAGTGTACTTTATATACTTACAATTATGTTTCTATATTATTCTCTTCTTTTCTCCCAGAATTATATCTTTTCCTTGTTCTATCTTCTTTTAAAATATTATCTTCGCTTTTCCTTACCTAAAACGAGCTGAAACCGCGAAAAAACTTCCAATAATCCTAGCGCAACTTTATACATATATACTTATGCTGTAATTTCAAAATATCAACGACACGAACTTTCCTTTTCCCCGAACTTAAGCTAAATATACTATATCGTGACAGATTATGAAAATATGCCCCGACAACAGTCTCCTCGAGAGCCTTCAAGAGTGCCAAAGTCTTCTGGAAGTAGTGCAAAAAGGTCTATCCAATTACCTGGAAGTGAAACGAAAAATTTTCCCTCGATTCTACTTCCTTAGCGACGACGAACTTCTGGAGATCCTTGCCCAAGCGAAGAAAGTACAAGCGGTGCAACCGCATCTCAGGAAATGTTTCGAGAACATTCAAGAAGTAAGGTTCGAAGAGGATCTGCAGATCACCCGGATGTACTCAGCCGAGAGAGAGGAAGTGGTGCTTCATCCACCGATGTATCCAGTGAGAAGCGTCGAATATTGGCTGGGTGATTTGGAGACTGTGATGCGAAACACTATTAGGAAAGTTATCGAAAAAGCTCTATCGCTTGTCAAAGAGATTCCAAAGAAAATATGGGTGTACATGTGGCCGGGACAGGTGACTCTTTGCTGTGGTCAAACGTATTGGACTGCACAAGTAGAAAATGGAATCCGTACGAAAACGCTCTCCAACTACTACCAGGAGTTGCTGGGATATGTAAGATAATAGTTCTATGATATAACTATGATCATAAATTAAAGCATTACGTAATGAAAGCAGTTGATCTAGCCAGAATTCTCTTGGATACCTTAGAATTTCTCTTATGAAGCGACATTTAAATTTTTTAATTATAATCTTCAAAAAATTTTATTGTTCCCTTTACTATTGATATCTACGTAATTTACACGAACTTTTGAAATAGAAACTTCCCTCTCGTAATTTTTATCGTTCAATCCAGACGAAAGAAACTTTCATTATTAAGCACGCTGATGTTATAGCAACAACTTTTGAAATTTGAGCGAAAGAAATACTATACGATAAATTAGGAGTATACAGCGTGTAGTATATAGTCTGCAGTCCATTTTATGAAAACTATTTTATAAAAACTGAATTTGAAAAATTAAAGAACAAGAAATATAAAAATAAATAGATCTTTTTCAATTCAACGCGTTTGAGGTCGGGTTTCAATCGACTTTCCAACCGTACATCGAAGAGAAATAAATTTTTTTCTTTCCACGTTTTCAGGTATCGATGTATCCAAGATATGTTATTACATTCCAAAATGTTTCACGTTACAAAAAGTTTTTTTT